CTAAGCCGAAAATTAATGAATGAATAGAAACCAACGTCAGAATATAGTATTATTTTATTTTACTTAAAATGAATGTTCATATTTTAAAAATATTTATGATTTAACAATCATTTAATTTTTATATCATGTTTATTTTATTACAGCATGCCAATTTAAAATGTCAAAACATTAAATTAATGCAAATTAACGCTAACTTAACTGACCTTTTATGAATATAAACATATAGATAGATATAAACAGAAAATAATTTAATTGTGTTCCAAAAAAATATAGCTAGGCTAAAAACTCAAAAACATCTCAAAAACCTGTAAGTATTTTTAATTGTTCGAATTGATCTTTTACATGCATAGTTTCTAGCGTTAATGGTATGTTGGACATAAACAAGGATGTAAACAACAGGAAATGCTGTTTGGCACCGGTAATGCTGTGTTCACACCAGACGCGAAACACTATTTGCGCGTAAATAGACACGAGAGTTTACTTGCCTCATTTGCGCATCAAAGTCCGCTTCATTTGCGCATCAAAGTCTGCTTCATTCCCACGTCAAATTCACTGAGCATCACGCATGATAGGCAGGGCTTCTGTCTGCTCCTGATTGGTTAACGCGGCGCAAATGTCTGCTGAAGTTCAGATTTTCCAACTTGAGTGGTACGTGCGATTCATGTGTTAAGCGCAGCAAACATTCAACTGCAATATGTCTATTCTCATTTTTACTTAACTTGTAAACTTAACATTTACTTAACATGTAAATCACTCGCGCTTGATGCTTCTACTGTGTCTGGTGCGAACACAGTATTACAATTTAGCTACAAATTCATTTTTATCCATCAAACCACTGTAAACAGCCACAATCTTCACCAGCTCTGCAGTGTCTCTCTATGCGGACGCTTTCAGTGTCTCTCTATGCGGATGCTTTCCCTGTGTTCTACATCTTAAATTACAAACTTGCAAAGATATGTTGAATGTTTTATATTACTTAAACATGCTTATTCCGAATATACGTGAAAGACACTTGTCAGATTTTACTTTAGAGAGCAGACCTGAGGTTTAGCTGTGTCCTCTTTATTTCCTGTCTGATTTAGGCTCAAACTGATACGGCTAACGGCTACTGTTTACACAGTGCAAAAGCTCGTGCTTGTAGGAGTGTGACGTGGTGACGTGGAGGCGATCCGCGAATCACAGCACATTATGTTAGCTGAGCCTTGTAAGGGTGGGCCTTTGAGAGGAACTAAGATATATGACAGTTGTTTTCATGTTAGCTGAGTCGCTGTATATAATCAAAGTAAGATGTATATAAAAAATAACATGATATTCTACAAGTGAAGCATGAGGACACATTGCTTTGCATCTTATACACACAACCAAGCCTTAAAAATACACGGTGGAGCACCCCTTTAAATATATATACGAATTTTTCAAAACGTCAACATCAGATCGTCAGATTGACGTTGTACCCCAAGATTGTGGGGACGTTGTATTTTGTTTGGAAAATAGACATTGAATTTTGGTCACCTGACATCACAACCTATATTTTACCTAATATTAACGTCTTAAGACGTTATGTGCCTGCTGGGCAATAACTAAATGCTCTACAGAATGTTACGTTTACACACAACCACAAATTGCATGTAAATGCATCAGCTTTTTACAATGTAATACTCACTACTCTTGAGTACTTTTGAAATGTCTACTTTTTACTCTACTAGCTCTACAATTTTAGGCAAATAATGGTACTTTTACTTGAGTTTGATTGTTCAGTACTCTTTCCACCACTGGTCATCACCCACAACTGACGTTTAAATATCCCCATTTCAAAGCATTTATTCAACAAAAGATAATTTATTTATTAACAATTTGTGATAACATAATATTAATTTCATAAAGAGTGTATTACTGTGTGATGCATAAATTAAATGCAAATGCATATTGTCGTTGCTTTAAATGTTTCCCTTCCAAAGTGACACTCGCCCCTTTAGCTTTTATCTTATACGCACAACCAAGCCATGAAAATACACAGTGGACCACCCCTTTAAATATATATACGAATTTTAAATAATAAAACAAAAACTCTCTTGTGAAGCCATTTATCACTCTTTGCAAACAAAAATTGTGTGGTTGGTGTGACCATCCCCAAGAGAAAAGGCTTTTGTGATTCATTTTCGCATTTTAAATTGGGTGCACACTGTGCAGTTTTTACAGCTTTGACAGCTTGCAGTCACACTTTCCTTGTCAGATTTTTGACACAGCTAGCTACAACTTTTTCAACAAGATTTGTCTCACTATAATCTCACACAAAGCTTTCTACTGCTGCCTGTTTCACACTATGAATCAGATAAATATTTATAAATTTTTTTTTTAAATCAATCAAGTGACAATACTAACATTCAAAGCTTTTATAAAATTTACTTTTGTTTAATGATGAATTGATCGCTATAAACGTTAATAATAGTTAAAGGGACAGTTGGCAATGATGTCATTATTCACTCACTTTCCATTGGTTCCAAACTTGTTAGAGATTCTTTCTTCTCTTGAACACAAAGGAAGATACTTCTGACATCTGTTATTTTGTTTTCCTACTATAGAAGTCATAGGCTACTGGAACATTCTACCAGAAACGTACATTTTCACTTATAAAAAATGTGACAGGGCCTGACCTTTAAGCTTGTCTTCTTCAAAAAATCCTATAAAAACAACACAGGGTCAGGCTTTATTTTGATGGCCCGTTTGTTGAATTTAAGTTTCATTGCATCTACATGCCAACTAATTCTCATTAGATTATAAGTAGACTGTTGGGGTTAGGGTTAGTAAGTTGACATGTACTTGCAAAGTTTCTTATAGTCAGTTAAATGTATGTTGAAGGAGCAGTATCAGCAGATATTAAGCAGACAGTCTACTAATACTCAAATGGACCATCAAAGTAAGGTATCTGCGGGGTCTTAAAAAGTCTTAAATTTCAAAAACCGAATTATAGGCAAATCGATGCTCGTGCACGTGAGCGACAATCACATAGCATGAACTACCAAAGATGCGATCTGAGAGAATCGCCGATAAGTCGCCGATGCCTGTGAGATATTTGGCATGCTAAACATCTGGAGCTGTCGGCGATTCAAATCATGCCGTGTAAAATGAGTTTTGACTGAAAATAACATCGGCGATCGCCTACAACCAATGAGAGAGCAGCATTCCCTTGTGTGTGTGTGTACCTGCAGGCCAGCGGGAGGTTGAAGGGGAAGGTAAAAGCGCTTATTTTTGGTTTATTTGGACCCAAAAGATTAAGGAAAAACTAGTTTCCTTTCTGAGGTTTGGCAGAAGCACCTGTGTCTGTTTGACGTTTTATACGAAAAGTTAAAAAGGAAAGTTGAGGAGAAATTGCTTGTTCTCTTCAAACCCAGGTGAGCAAATATGTACATTTTTTTACCCCATTAAAGGCTTCTTACTCGTTATGTAGTTAATAATAAAAGATATACTACATGTTTGTGGCTGTGAGACGTAAATTGTAAAGTCATGCAATGTGAAAGCCCCTGTCGCTGATCCATCTTGCAGTCTCGATCGTTATGGTGTCTTAAATCTTAAATCTGACGATGAAACCTGTGGAACCCCGAACAAGCATAAAATCATACAATTGTATGATAGAACTCATCCTTGATCATTGTCAGCTTCTCCATCAAATGATGTCTATTCTTCTAAATCATAGCCTAAATTGTGTTGCATACATTTTATGTAAAATTTCATGCAAATGTGACTGACAGAAACATGGGGACAATTGTAAATGTATTTGTATTATAAATATGAAGTATTTATTTAGAATTCATTTATAATTTTGTGGCGAAGCAGTGGCGCAGTAGGTAGTGCTGCTGCCTCACAGCAAGAAGGTCGCTGGTTCGAGCCTCGGCTCAGTGGGCGATTCTGTGTGGAGTTTGCATGTTCTCCCTGCAGTCGCGAGGGTTTCCTCCGGGTGCTTCGGTTTCCCTTACAGTCCAAAGACATGTGGTACAGGTGAATTGGGTAATCTAAATTGTCCATAGTGTATGAGTGTGTGTGTGAATGTGTGTGTGGATGTTTCCCAGAGATGGGTTGTAGCTGGAAGGGCATCCGTTTTGTAAAAAACTTGCTGGATAAGTTGGCGGTTCATTCTGCTGTGGCGACTCTGGATTAATAAAGGGACTAAGCTGACAAGAAAAATAAAGCTGGAAAAATAGAGGGTCTGATATCTATGGCCATATACAACAAAACCGTCTATATATGTTGTTAAGCCTTTCAAACAACCTCTCTTGTAAACACATTTATCACTCTTTGCAAAAAAAAAAGCTCACTCTCAGAAAAGATGGCAAGTGTGAATTTCTCAAAACCAGTGGAAACATCTGCAGATGTTTGGCCTTTTCCACTGTGTTGATTTTCAGCTCCATTTATGGTTTGTTTTTCCAAAACACTGCCATTATGCGACAACATTATACATTCATGCCAGTTTGACTGTTTTTCAGGCACATCATTCAAAATGTTAGCACAGACCGGGTTACATGTCACTTCTAATTTGTCATTTTCGATGACTCATTGTAAACACGCACCATCAACATATATTTCATAATCAAAATGATGCGTGAGTGCAAAACAGAGGAAATAAGCATATTTATGAACCCAGTCATTTTAATATTAAAGATATTTGCGGAGAGGACATGCACTCGTTTGAGGTTAATCCTACATTTGAAATCGTTTTCTTGAAATACAATGCCGAATATTTGCATAATTGCATCACGCTGCGCAATCACTAAATGTTTTTATCACTTTGTAGGAAGGATGCGATCTAAAAGTGTGACGCAACAAATCTTCCCCACAGAGTGCTGGCGGTTTTTGGATGGATAATTAATCTAATTTTAGGTCTTTGTGTGAATGTCAGCAGAAAATGTAGCGAGGAGCTGTCAGTTTGACTTAGCTTATTCGGTAAAGGTTGCATAAGCTACATGCCTATTCCCTTATCTTTCTCTCTCTCTCTTTCCCTGCAGCGGCGGATGCAGTTCCCGTTCGGAAAGATGGGGAGCAGGTAAGTAAAACTACAACGCTTTGCATATTTAAGATTTGCTTTGCACCGAACCTCTTGTCCCATGTTGTGAGCTTAAGCTTTAAGGATCACGTCTAAATGACGTCCTTCGCTGAGATGATACTTGTGCGACGTCTGCATTTCTGTCCGATGCTATTATACCTATCAAGGGCTGACATTTGTGCCTCAGCCTCATGGCACTTTAATGAAGTCTTTAGCGTACACGAAGACCCCCCTGTGTGCCACGCGCATATCTCGGCACCCTGTAAGCGCTGGAAGTCAGAAAGGAAAGCATGATGTGTATTTGAAAAGCCTCTAGATTAGATTTCTTACCAAGGCCACAGGAGCCGGACCCAAGAGCCTGACAATTACCGCTACAGTATTGCTGTATAACGGGTTTGTCCCCTGGGAAGACATAACCTCATCCGTCTTCTCTGTTTGCTGTTCGTGTTCGTGTCCTGCTCAAGGACAGCCGCCCCTGGCTTGTTGCTTTACTCATCACCGGATGAATTTGGCTCAAAATGTAGTGATTTGGATCCTGGCATCCATCCAAAGCAAATGGCACGCTGTATATCTCAATGCAGGGTTGAAGAAGTTGAGGCAGGAGGTGATGTCATCTCGGTAGCTATGCTTCCATCCACCTGTTTATATGTGCATTTTGGATTTTGCATATGGAAATGCTTAGTGGAAACAGCAAGATGAGTGTAAATGTTCAATATCTTGATAAAAATGCTGTGATAAAAATTTTATCCGATAAAAAAATTGTGCAAAAACTACGATGGAAACACATTTACTGCCTAATTTTAAAGGGCACCTATGATGAAAATCTACGTTTATTAGCTGTTTGGACAGAACTGTGTGTAGGTATAGTGTCCACAGTCATATAGGAGTGATATAAACCCAACAAGTCTATTTCTTTTTATTTCCTGAAGTTAAAATAAGACCCAAATCCCAGGGATTTGTGAGGCCCACCACAACATGCAGTTTTCCCCACCCACCAAATTGATTGACAGGAGCGATGTCTCCATAATAACATGTATTCACACGTCCACAGAACATTTTTTGCAAATAAGTGAAGTTTCACAAACTGAAGCTGCGGTCACACTAGAGTTTGACAATGCGGAATTTTGTCGTGCAGAGCTGTAAAAAGGGGCGAGATTAAACAAGATTATTAGGCATTACAAAAAGCAAGCAGTTGCTCTATGTTTTAAATTTCTGTCCAGAGAGGTCATGTTTTGATTCTCGGTAGTCAAGTGATGCGCAGTCAAGTGATGCATTTTCGCAGGTCAGAGTTCAAAGCTTGAACTTTGCACCGCCGCGACCTGCAAAACTTGAAGCATGACCCTGCGTTTCCAGTCTGTCGCATTTGTGTGCGTATGAATGGAAGTCTATGGGGAGAAAAGTCCAGTGACTGCAACTTTACTTTCCAGAGGAGCACGTGATATGATCGACTACAGCTGATCCTTATCGCTAATCATTAGTTAACCTATCAGATCATTCTAAAACTACTATAAATATCCTGCCTAAACTTCATTCTATATATTTGTTTTTGGACACCCCCCCCCCCTTATCCTTCCCTTCTCCCTCCTCCTCTTTTCATGATTGGGCAACACGGTGGCTCAGTGGCTGGCGCTATAGCAGCAAGAGGGCCACAGGTTCAAGTTCTAATCAAACCAGTCGGCACTCCCTGCACGAAGTTTGCATGTTCTCCCCGTGTTCGCATGGGTTTTCCCCGGGTACTCCGGTTTCCTCCCAAAGTCTAAAAACATGCACATAAATAAAGCGTAATATCAGTCACAAGCGCTTAACACATTTACATTGAACCAATCAGCACCACCATATTAGCCAAAGTACAAACGGGGGCACTCGAGAAACACCTGGGGCCTCATGTACGAAGACTTGCGTGGAAATCTTACTAAAACATTGCGTACGCACAAAGCTGTAAATGTGCGTACGCAGAAAAAAATTCAGATGTATGAAACACTGCGTACGCCGAATCTCACGCATATTCTTTTGTACATCTGAATGAACGTGAAACTGAGCGCAACATGCACGAGCACAAAACCCCTCCCTGCCTCCTCCCCAGTATGAATATGCTAATGACTATGCTAATGGCAAAACCCAACGAAAAAGCAATGGCAAAATCAAGCAAAAAGAGAAACTTTGAACAGAATGTGAATTGGAGGTGCTGCTTTCGGAGGTAGACCGGAGAAAAGCGGTGTTATTTGCAAGTTTGTTCTCCGGAATTAACAACAAAAGAAAAAAATAGAGTGGGAGAGTTTAGCTGATACGGTTAACACAGTTGGGTCTGAACATCGCACTGAGTGCATTTAAAAAAAGAAATAGTGTGGTTTATAACTGAAAAATGTTGCAGTACCCTTAGCAGTCTCAGTTGCGCACCTCATAAGAAGCATGTGATCATGTACTGACATAATCGAGCATAAACTCGGCTCGAATCCAGCGTCTAATGAATTCTTTCTTTTTTTCCCCGCTACATATCAGATTTTGCCCACTATTTATCAAGAGAAAGACAAGTAGGAATCATCAATAAGTTTGTGCAGCATATTTTATTTGCACATTTATTGAATGGAAATGTTTCTGATTCACGGATGCAAATTCATCTTCAGATAGTGTCTTTATAGCAATGTTCGTGCGGTAGATTGCTCAGATTACATTGGGAAAACAGGCGACCGCTGCAAATTGTGCTTCAATGTTTAGCTGCTCAACTGTATGGTATGGAAATCTTACATACCTACTACAGTATATGAACCCGTCTCATACAGCTGCCATTGCAAGGATCAGACACTTTGTAGAGAAGAATTTAACACAACTGCCTCTAGGAGTCGCCAATGGAAATAAAACAGACACGCACAAAAAATGTGCGTACGCCTGCCAGAAAGCTGCCGTGAACCTGCGCACATTCCCACGTTCAGTTCATTGTTAGTAAATCCAAACGTGAGCGATTCTGAGCGTGAAACCTGGCGTACGCAAAGTTTTTGTGCGTACGCAGCGTTGATACATGAGGCCCCTGATGTTTTGCCTATTTCAGACCAGCGCAACCCTAATTTTCCCATCTTACAACAAGTTTAAATAGCAAATCCATTTGCTCCGCTTTGTGGACTCTAAAACGTCTAGAAAGGAGGTTTGTTAAGATGTACAGCAATACACAAATATATAACAAATGTAAAAAAAAATACTACAAAAATTATTATTTTCTACATAAATATAAAAAACACTACCTCCATGCCTCACCTTAGGGGGCTTTTTTTCAGTTTATTTATTACAATTTGCATTTAATGTTATAATTAGCAGTATTATTTATTATATACATATTTATATTTGTTTTAATAAAAACAAGCTTGGATTTGTCCACCTGTCGGTTTCTGGACCATATGTGGCATATGATGTGTGTTTAGATATAACTCTGAACTGAATTTAGAAATAGTTTTGAAACAAATCTTTGCGCTTAACAGACTAAATTAAATATGTAGGCTAATGGATAAAGTAAAGGAGTAAAGTATAAAAATAAAGAGAGAAAGAGAAAGAGGCCGAAAGGAGGAGGCTTGTTCTTTATCCTCGCACTGCAGTTGTTTAACTGCTTTCTCGCTAGTGAAGTGTTCAGTTTTTCCACTTACAAAGTCCGCCATGTAAATAGCAAATGCGTCGTGAATCTTAAAGGGAATATGAGACGAGTGTCTGATTGGTTTAATGCACATTATGCTCAAAACACACCCATAACTTATTAAAAGAATAAGCACATCCCTCTTAGACCATGTGCTGCAGCGCAAACCTTATTTTTCCATCCTTAAAATATAAAAAATTTGCAGTTAGCTTCTGCACCCTGCGCTTTAGACTTTGCGTCTAGATCCTTAAAATAGAGCCCAAAGACATTAAAGCGATATGTAATTCTTAACCACTATAATCACTATGGCCGCATGGTCTCAGTAAACGTGCATATATGTGTGCATGTGTACTGCAAACGGCATTTGTGTGGGATTCACCATTTCAGAAAGGCTTGAATAAACTCCACCACAAATACATTTAATAAACTTACTTGTTTTTTTTGTTTTTTGACTGAGCTGTATTTCAGCTTCGTCCAAGTCTATCTTAGTCACTGTGCTGTTTATTTGACGTAACATGATGAGAAGCAGCTCATTTGCATTTAAAGCCCAAGGCTACAAAAACAGCTACAATGTTTAGGTTGTTTTCAATCACGTGGTTCTGCTGACGTGAAATTCTGATGGAGGGCAGGAAGTATAAAACCGAATGGGAGACATAGAGGAAGATCCGTATTTTTGCAATTTATACAATATTTCAAAGGAGATATAATTAAAAAAATAAGCACATATGTTGGGCATGCTCCTTATCTCATGAAGAGGGCTGAGTTTTCTACTGAACTAAAATAAATTTGCCTGTCATCGAGGCGGCATAAAAAATACTATAGTAAATACTTTAGTGTTTGGAAGCATACTACAGATAATTACTTGAATTAAACTGTTGTAGTAATTATATTATTGCAGTGTTACGACACTTCTGTTGTAATAAATTATTAAATAGGCTTCAGTTTCTATAATTATACACCACATCAAAATAAACCACAGTTTACTCTAATTTTACAATATTAATAACGTTTATCAGTTTACTCTACTACAGTACTCTTTAGCATTCATTAACAGTTGTACACATTATACACTTTGTGGTTCGAAAACACGTTTATTATAAATTACTATAGTTTTTCCCCCATGCAGATAACTTCCAGACATCACAAAATAACAAATGAAAGCATACAAAAGCATTGTTTACATTAATATTTTTTATAGGGGAAAAGTGCTCCACAATAGTAACCGTCTAGTTTTGTCACGAGAGTTGCATTTATAATACATTTTTATTTTTTTGTTCTGTCAGTGAACTTACTATCAACAAACATTCACCGCTTCTGCTCGAATAGATGTTAACGTTACGGTTGTTTATTCAGTCGAAACGTCAGTAAAGACTTGGATTAT